ATTAGAACTTCTGATGAAATCCAGAAAGCTGTTGAATATTTGAAAAATAAGTTTGAGATTAAAGATTTTGAAAAAACCAAATTTTGCCTTGGTTTGAAAATTGAACACTTGGAAAGTGGAATCTTTATCCACCAATCAAACTATACCAAAAGGGTACTGAAAAAATTCCTGATGGATAAATCGCATCTGCTAAGTACCCAAATGATCGTTAGAGCACTCGATCAAGCAAATGATCCATTTAGACCAAAAAAGGAAAATGAAGAAACACTTGGCCCAGAAGTGCCATATATGAGTGCTATAGGCACATTGATGTATCTTGTTAACAGCACCTGACCCGACATATCATTTGCTGTAAATTTATTAGCAAGATTTAGCTCATCGCCTATTCAACACATTAGAATGGGATTAAGCACATTTTTTGCTATCTCCAAGGAACAATTGATCTCAGGTTATTTTACTCGAAAGATCCTCGACATGAATTGATTGGTTTTGCCGATGCAAAATATTTATCTGATCCTCATAAAGCCAAGTCTCAAATTGGCTATATATTCACTTGTGGCGAAACAGTGATCTCCTGGAGATCGATGAAACAAATTTTAACTGTCACTCCTTCAAATCATGCTGAAATATTGGCAATACATGAAGCTAGTTGAGAATGTGTTTGGTTGAGGTCAATGACTAAACATATTCTGAAAAATTGCGGGTTAATGCCTGAAGATAAAATCCCCCGACTACATTGTATGAAGATAATACAGCTTGCATAGCTCAATTGAAAATGGGTTACATCAAAGGAGATAGAACGTAACATATTTCACCAAAATTCTTTTTCACTCATAATCTACAACAAAATGGTGAAATTAATGTGCAGCAAATTCGATCAGATAATAATTTAGTGGATATATTAACCAAAGCATTTCCGACTGCAATATTTGAAAAATCGGTAAAGAAAATTGGGATGCGTCGGTTAAGGGATCTCAAATAATGCTCAGATCAGGGGGGCGAATCAATACAACAATATTGTACTCTTTTTCCTTCACTTGGATTTTTTTGTCTCACAGAGTTTTTTTCTAATAAAATTTTAACGAAACATATTATTTATATAAAGAATTTAAAGGGGAGTATTGTACACATAACTATACAAAGACTATTACATATTGTACACATATATTTAATATGAATGCTTTGTAACCTAAGTTTGAACTTGAGTTGCCTATATATATGGCATTGTGTAAAGACATTTATGACTACAACATAATTAAATAGTGAACTCTATCCACCTCTCTCTTATGCTCGGCTCTCCATTTCTTTCTTTATCTAATATATATATATATATATATATACTACATCATTATCATTATCATTATCATCATCACACACACCCACACGTACATACATACAACTCACATATATATATACACTAGTGGAATAATCGTGCTAACACACGGTGCAATCAACAGAAAAAATTATAATCGTGTTTTTTGTTTAATAGTAATTTATTCATAATTAAATTACATATATTTTTAATCAATGTAAAAAAAAATAATATCAAGGAATTATATTTTCGTCCGGTTACAAAGTAAATATTTATTTTTGGAACGAAGTTTGAAAAATAATAGTATTTAAATTGTAGTTGGTAGTTAAAAGTAGTGTAATGATATTTTTCTCTTATTTTTATTGTGTATATTATTTTTTAAATTGATTTTATTCGAATAATATATTATATATATAAATTATAAGTAGTATTATTTATAAAAATATTAAATCAGTGTATAAGTTATTATAAAAATAAACACGCTAGTAATACAAAAATATAACTACATTGAAAACAAATAAGTCATACAACCGTACCATTTCAAACTCTTTTAGATAGATTTGTCAATACCGTTCAAATTATATTTAAATAATTTTTAAATCATAACTCTATTTTATCAAAATTTACAACATAATTTTTCTTTTAATTTCTGTAAAACTGTTAAATAATTCATCATAGTTATTTTTAAATGATCAAATAAATTTATACGTATATATTATTTTATATAAAAAAAATTAATTTACAAATAACACCAAATATTTAATATAGATTGATATAGATTGTAATTGTAATTATAAAATTGTAATACAAATATACAAAAATAAATAATTCTAAAAATAATTAAAACAACATTGATAAAAATCAAAATAAGTTAGACAAAAATAAAATTTATATATATATTGAATTAATATATAATTATTATTATTTTTAGAAAAAAAACACCATCTGTAGCAAGTTTGAATACATGATAAAAATATTTAGTCAAAATATATTTATCATTTATTAAATAAATAAATTTTCCAAATAAGAAAAACAATAAAAGGGAAAAAAAATTGCAGGAAATATTATTAAATATTATTATCTCCAGAATTTTTTAAATAATTGATAATGATATTACAGATATTATATTTATTTATTTAAATTCTGATAAATTAATTAGTAATTTTTTATCGAGGATATGGATAAACATTTAAGTCTGTTTAAATACCGTTTTTGAATATATTGAGTTTTTTGTTAATAGTTCAGAAAATTTATGAAAAATATAAAAATATATGGAGTATTATTTTAAAAAGTGAACAATTCCTTCTTCAATCATCCTTATCTTGGGTGAGTCTTTGCATCACTGAAAAATAATTTCTCCTAAAACTCACAGTCCATTTCTTCATCTTATTTCAGTGGCAATAACCGGTTGCCTTACATTTCCAGGGGCTTTTGAGCTCCAAAACTTGGCCGTGGTATGTCCCATTTAAGTAATTTCATAACACTATCACTTCAACAATCTTGACAGGCGGTTTGCCAGTTGGACTCCACCCGGCGGCACCAAACATCATGCGCGGACGAAGAAAATAACTATAAATATGGTTTTATTCATCTTGGGGTCTGAATCTCGCGAGAGGTAATAGTGGGCTATTTGCCTGCCATGTCTTATGGGCCATTTCTCGAAGATATTGTTGATGAAACTGTTCATTGTTCCTATGGCTAGAAATCTCGGTGTCGGATGGACGATCTGTTTTTGCACCTTGAAGATGTAGATCTTGTAGGTTAATACGCACTTCTTTGTCTGCTTCTTCTTGACTCCCACCGTGGTGGAGGCTTCCTGTGGCAGCTTCTTCCCCGCCTTGGGCTTCTTCCTCTGGCGCTAGAATCTTCGTGGCAATGCGTTTCTTCTACTCCGACTTCTTATCCCTTTTTGGGGCAATTTCCGATTCTAGCGTAAATGAAAATTAGAGAAAAATTATTTATAACAAAAAAAATTACAATAAAAAATGCTAAGTACATGTATACATATGTCATTATGTATATATATATATTATTGAGGAAATGAAAAGACCGTATTGAAAAGAGAAAAAAGAGGACACATATCGTGAAGTGAAAAAGTGCTTTGTGAAGAGCAAAAGTCATACACCACTTAAGTACATATATGTATTTAATAAACAAAAATATATTTTGCTCACGTTAATATTCAATACAAAACAGTAACCAATCAAAAAAGGAAAAAAAAATGCAAAAATGCTAGAAACTCGAGATTTTTCATTTGGTGGGTCTACACGAATTCAAATGTAAATATATATAAAATATAAGATAAGATAAGATATATATTTTTTAAAAAAATAAAAAATGAAAAAAAAAGATAAATTGATATGAGTTTCATTTTTATATATATAATTAAAATATATTTCAAGTTATAATGATTAAATGTATATATATAATAGTAAAATAATTACATTGAAATATTAGTAAACTTTTATTACTCTTAAATAGAGATATAAATAAAAAAAAATTATATTATAATTTACCATAATCATAAAATTAAATTACTTTTTTTTAATATCTTCAAAATGCGTTAATTATAGTTTAATCAATTATTATATATTTAATAGCATTTATTATGTATTATTTTATTAGAAAATAAAAAAAATAACAAAAAAATATATTGGAGTGGATCTTATTTTAAATAAAAAATAAAAAAAATAATAAAAAAATATGATGTAATAGACTCTACACTGATCTCTTATATAATAATAATAATAATATTTTTTAACTTTTAATAAATACATTTATTAATCATAATTTTATTAATTATATCAATTGATATAATTATTTAATATAATTACATTGAAAAATTAGTAAAATTCTATTATTCATTAATTACGATTATAAATAAAAATAAGAAAATATTACATTAATTTTAAAACTTTTTAAGAATTAAAAAAAAAAAAACTATAGAATTATGAGACTTATCGACATTTTATATATATAAAGACTATAAAATATAATTATCATAGTTTTAATTTTATTCATTATCAATATAATTATTTATAAAAATAATAAAAATTACATTACAAAATTATTACATTTTCATTACTTTTAAATAAAGATATAAATAAAAATAAAATTATATTATAATTTATTTTAATCATAAAATTAAATTAATTATTTTATTATCTTTAAAAATTATACTAATTAAAATGTTATTAATTATAATATACTTAATAATATTTAATACATATCCATTTTATTAAAGGTAAATTACATAATAAATATATTAAATTATATATATAATATAATAATAATAATAAAATTTGAATTTTAATAAATATATTTATTAGTTATAACTTTATTAATTATATCAATATAATATTAATGATAATCTATTAATTATATTAATTAACATAATTATTTTTATTAAAAAATTAAAAAAAAAAAATTGATAGTGTGAAACCACACGATCTCAAATATATATTATATAGATAATAATAATATTATCTTACTTATACTTATATATTATATTATATTATATATAATATATAAAATAGAGGATAATCTTATATTAATATTACACCATAAACATAGCCTATTTATTATTATTATTCTTTATTTATTTATTAAAAAAAAAAAAAAGAAAAACACTCTCAATTGCCGAAATGGCTAGATTGAAATGCCTCTAAAAAATTAAAACAAAAAACGAGTACTTAAAGAAAAACGAAGAATAGCAGTGTCTCAAACCCTTCTGCAGCTACAAAACCCCCATCTTTTCTACTACTTTTGTGCGCGCAGTAGTCATCTTCTAGTCGGCGGATCGCAGTCTCCAGTCTCCAGTCTCGACCCTTCTGTGCGTGCTACTCTACCGCTCAAAGGTTCGTATCTGATTCTCGTTATGAATTTTTTGCATCTATTTGTTATCGCGGGCATATTGGCGTTGGATCTTCGAACTATTGCGGTTCGAAATGTCCTGAAGTTGCACGTAGACGCCCTTCAGGGACGCTCAAGTTGCTGCTGCATGTTTCATCGTTTAGGGATTTTTTAGTTGCTTCGGGGATTTGGGTGAGGTAGCGTGTGTGTGAGTCGAAAAAATGTATTGCTGGTCATTGGCCCGATTGGGTTGCTTTATCGGTTTCGGATTTGTTTTCAACGTAAGGTTTAGGTTTTTGTTCTACTATTGCTGTCGAATGTGTTCTTTGGGCGACCTAGAATTTTCTGTGTTACTGAAGAGTGAAGATGTATCTAAACACTTATGTTGAAGTATCATTTTATTTATATGCCATATCATTGATGGTTATGGTACTGGATATTTTGTCCCAGCACAGGAATCTATTCACGGGCGAGTGCTTTTAGGTTTTCATTCTCAACTCTTGTTCCATGGCGGTATGTGTTGAGCACTGCAATTGTCTTCATTTTCCATAATGTCACTGGTTTGTGATTAGTCTGTCTGATTTGGGATGTTTAGATTGAAAAGCTTCTTAAGGATGAGGCTACTGAGGAAAAGGGTGAGCGTGCGAGAATGGTGAGTCTGTAATATCTTGTAATTTTGAAATCTGTATCCGATAATTTATCCACAAAATATGCTTATTGCTGTTGCAAGATAGTGTTTTTGGCACAATGGGTAATTCAAGAGCTGGTAAATTGACACCTAGATTCTTTATTTGTGAATCAGGCTTCCTTTGTTGGAGCTATGGCAATTGCTGACTTGGTTAAGACCACATTGGGACCTAAGGGGATGGTGAGGAACTTTTCTGTAACTATTTTGCATTTGATTGAGAAAACCAGCTTATGCTTTACATTCCTTAATGGGTGTACATATTCTCTTTGTAGGATAAGATTTTACAATCTACTGGCAGAGGGCATAGTGTCACGGTCACAAATGATGGAGCAACCATCTTAAAGTCCCTGCACATTGACAACCCCGCTGCCAAAGTCCTTGTTGGTATCCTTGATAACATAATTATTTTATTACAACTTTAGTGTTCGCAATTAATCTTACCCCGTGGCATAGAAAAAATTATTTGGATTAAATGATGAGTTTAGCATAATATAATATTCTTCATGATGAAACATATTACAATTCCGGTCGTGAAATATGCGAATGCCATATTGTCACAGTAATTTTTGTCCTCACATGCATGTGACCAGGTTTATTACTGCCATTGGAATTAATAATCCCTCATAGGATTTGCTCATAACTTCATCAGAACAAGGAATCACTACAAAGTCTTTCACCTTGATATGACTTGAATAAGTTACTGAAAACTGTATATGACACTATGGTGAAGCCTTAACTAAATTTGCTCTTTCACCTTTATATGAAGTGAATAAACGTTCCTGAGAACTGTATATGAAACTAGTGAAGCCTTAAGTAAATTTGCAGACATTTCAAAGGTTCAAGATGATGAAGTTGGTGATGGTACTACTTCTGTTGTTGTATTAGCTGGGGAGCTTTTGAGGGAGGCTGAGAAGCTAGTAAATGCCAAAATTCATCCAATGACAATTATTTCAGGTATGGGAAATGCTTAGAAAATTTTGAAGATCTATTATAATTTATTGTTTTATTATATTTCACCTTAATTATAGAACCTTATATAAATTTTGATGTACATGGAAGATTAGTATGTGTAATGATGATTTGGTAGGCATCAATGGATGGGAGTTTATTCCCAGTGCTTATATACATTTCATTTTACATCTGCTTTTATGAGGTATCTTTCCTCTTGATTTTGGTCAATTTCATCAATTGGAACGATTCTACATCTAGTGATTGCACGTGTACATGTATTGTCTGTAATTATGCTAATAGGCTCATCTCCATGTATCCATTCCTTCCATCTGATGATGTGTACCTATAAATTGGTACTAATATTAATCCCTTGAGTTAAGATAATCATTTTGGATGCATGGCAGGGTATCGCATGGCAGCTGAATGTGCCAGAAGTGCATTGGTGGAGAAAGTGGTGGATAACAAACTTGACGCAGGTAATGTTCTCTATTCTATGCTCATTGATCATTATATAGTCAACTTATATTATTGAATGGAGCATCATATCCCAAGTATGATTTTTCTAAAATATGGAGTTTTTTTTGCATTGTTAGTACAAGAAACCAAGGAAACTAAAAAATGTGATGGAAAAAGATTGCTATGACATTCTTAAAAGCATTTAGATGGCTCCATTTATGTAAGGAAAGAGCTAGAGCATAACATTTGCTTGCAGTAGATTGCAATGCAAAAGTTTTCGCCTTCTATTAAGTGGGTGGTTTGTTTTTTCCTTTATAATTCTTGGATTAATTTTGATTGTGTATGTCCAGAGAAATTCAAATCAGACTTGATGAAGATAGCAATGACTACTTTGAGTTCCAAGATTCTCTCGCAGGACAAGGAACATTTTGCAAAACTTGCTGTTGATGCTGTCATGAGGCTAAAGGTATGATCTTAAATGACTCATTAGTTGTTATTGGCCTATATATATATATATCCATTTTTTTTTTCCTAGCTCGAAATGATCTCTTGGCATATCTCTCAACTAACCTATCAAATACTGTGTGAGTAGTTTAATTATGTAGCAAATGGCATATGAGTTCTACAGTGGAATATTAGTTATATTTGGGTACCAATTTACATTTCTGCATAGTAATTTGGGGATCTCGTTAATGAGAATGAATCTAGAATTATTTTCATAGTGTTAGTCATCTTGGTGTTATTACTTATTCTTGGTGAATCAATGTCTGTTGTGGTTTTTTCCATTGTGTAGTGAGTATGTTATCTCTCTCAGCTTGCAGATTGTCTGCAATTGCTGTGATATATTGTGTGAGGTGGATGTATGTATCCTGGAAGTAATTGTTTTCTGTTCTGTGAAATGGTCTTTGTTGTTGTTGGTCAATGTTGATGTCACTCATTTTTATCTATTCCCCGTTATCAGTTTGTGAGCCTATTGCCTTATATCCCTGTTATGTTGTTACTTTTAGTGGCTGTTCTTTAATTTGTTTTGTTGTTTCTTCAAGTAGTTGCTTTTTCATCAAGCATATATGGCACTAACATTGACAATAACAGGGGAGTACAAACTTGGAATCCATTCAAATCATAAAGAAACCTGGAGGATCCTTGAAAGACTCATTTCTTGATGAGGGGTAAACTATATTGCCATTGAAAATATAAAAGTTCTTGTACTGTGTTTGGTATCCTGCTCTTATGAAATTTCATTCCATGTTGGTTACTGTCTATTCTACATCCAGATTTATTTTGGACAAAAAAATTGGTGTTGGACAACCTAAAAGAATTGAGGATGCAAAGATTTTGGTTGCAAACACTGCCATGGATACTGATAAAGTGAAAATTTACGGGGCACGTGTACGGGTTGATTCAATGGCTAAGGTTGCCGAAATTGAAGTGGCTGAAAAGCAAAAAATGAGAGAAAAGGTGCAGAAGATTATTGATCATGGGATCAACTGCTTTGTTAACCGACAGTTGATTTACAATTTCCCAGAGGAACTATTTGCTGATGCTGGAGTACTTGCAATAGAGCATGCGGATTTTGATGGTATTGAGCGACTAGCTCTTGTTACTGGTGGTGAGATAGCATCTACTTTCGATAATCCAGAATCTGTCAAGCTTGGGCACTGTAAGCTTATTGAAGAAATAATGATTGGCGAGGACAAGCTGATCCACTTTTCTGGAGTGGAATTGGGTCAAGCTTGCACCATAGTATTGAGGGGGGCAAGGTATCTATGATAATGATTTACTAACAAATTATTCCCTGTTTTGCTATAAACTATAAAGTTATCTTTAGTTTCCAAGTATTTCTTTATGGGGAAAGCTATCAATGCGAAATAAAAATTATGTTTTTCAAATGCATCTAAATATGGTCCCAGGATGCTGCTGTTCATGACTAGGATGTTTGTACATTTTAGACATGCTGGTGTGATTTGTAGTTTTGTTACTTTTGTACCTGGTGTGGTTCTATGTTTTTTTTATTTTATGTTGTGTCAATCTTGTTCGACTTTGCATTTACTATGCATGCTTTTATCTATCTCTATTGTTTTAGCTATGTTGTAATGCCTTCCGTTCTATTGGCAGCCCGCATATGTTGGATGAGGCTGAGAGATCTCTCCATGATGCTTTGTGTGTTCTATCACAGACGGTGAATGACAGCAGGGTTTTGCTTGGAGGTGGATGGCCTGAGATGGTAATGGCTAAGGCTGTCGATGAACTCGCCAGAAAGACTCCGGGGAAGAAGTCCCATGCCATCGAAGCTTTTTCAACGGCACTGGTGGCTATTCCAACTATAATTGCTGACAATGCCGGCCTGGACAGTGCTGAATTAGTTGCCCAGCTTCGTGCAGAGCACCACAAGGAGGAAAGCAATGCAGGGATTGACGTCATAACTGGATCCGTGAGTAGCAGTTCCTTGATTACATGGATGGAGCAATTCTTTCTCCATCGCATTCATTATTTTTCTACTATTTATTTTTCAGGTTGGAGACATGGCAGAACTAGGAATCTCGGAGGCGTTCAAAGTGAAACAGGCTGTGCTGCTCTCAGCAACCGAAGCTGCTGAGATGATTTTGAGGGTCGATGAAATCATCACTTGCGCCCCGCGAAGGAGGGAAGACAGAATGTGAAAGGTAAGGTTCGGAGTTTTGAATCATAATTATCATATGATATGATTGAATGAAACGTTGATGCATTGAGGATTAATGACTGGTTTGGCACTTTCAGTTTTGTTTATGGTACTTGTTCATTAAAGATCATATTTGATGACGATGACTGTACGCTAGTGCTACAATTTTAATTTGTACTTGTTGTGAAATTAGCTGCATTTTTAAATGTGAAAATCTAATACTATTAGTAGTAGTAGTAGATACACTATACACATCATATTGTTGGTATTATTATAACTTACAGGTAGGTACGTGTATTCAATATAAAATTTTTAGTATTTTATTGGACTCTTAAATTTTAATTCATACTTTTAAAAGTATTCGATCTATATTTTTATTTTATTTAAAAAGATCTCAAACTATTCAATAGATTTTATTGGATTTTTATTGTTTACTTTATGTGATGGATGTATTTTTATTTATTTATTTTTTATGTTAGTTTGGATGGCTGTAATTTTTTATGTTAATTATGTAATATATACATATATATTATATTAATAGGGTGTTTGGTAAATAGACGTTTTGGAGAGCTTTTAATTTAATGAACACAATTTTTAACCGTTTTATCAATCAAAAATTTAATTTAAGTGTTTGGTAAATTGATTTTTTTGAATAGTTTATTGACTCGAAAAGCTAATTTTAAATTTTGTATAACAAAACGTTTCAAAATAGCTATTTATCTTTAAACTTTTTTTTTTATCTATCCTTAAATATAAATCATTTCTTTTACAAGTGTTTTTTTATACTACCCTTAAATAGCTATTAATTTTTTATAACTTATAAATTTAAAATAATTGTTTATTTATATATATACTATATATTTTTTGTCATATGAACTTTTTTTTGATAAATAACGAATATATTAAAATAAATTTATTTAAAATTATAAATTTAATAAAAAATAAATTAATTAAAATGAACTTTATAAAAATATACTCCGTTTTGTTATCTTTTTATATTTTACATTATTTCTAATAAAAAAAAATCATTTTTTTATAATAAAAATACATTAATTTTTTATAAAATATTTAAAAAATAACAAAAATAGATATTTTAATAAACTTTCATAATTTTTAATAAATAATAATAAAAACTCTAAAAGGTCTTACGGTACCGGAAAAAGACAACTAAATATTCTAAAAATAAAATACAATATTTACGCATAAACAACTAATATGAAATAGTTATTTCACCAAACACTTCAGCACAAACATCTAACTAAATCCGCTAATCAAATCAACTAATCGAATAAGTCAATAACTAACACTTAATCGAATCAGCAGCTGATTGCCAAATATCCCCAATATATGTAGTATCTTTTTTAATAATATTATGGAGAATAGTTTCATCTATGCTAATAAAAAAAAATCCGACCTAAAGGTCAAGAAGTTGAGGAAGTTTTGCTAATAAAAAAAGATTTTCGACTTAAAAGTCAAGAGGTTAAGTGTTTCACCGTTAGACTACAACCCGACTATAAATATTGATAATATTTTTTTAAGCAAATATTGATAATATTTTTTTAAGCAATTAAATTTAAATAAATAAATACAGATGATTAACAATGTTGATATATTAAATGGCAATGTCTAATAAAAAATCAAAACAAAATATTAATATAAACAAAATATTATTATAATTTTTTTATAAAAATAGTTTCAATTATAAATATAATATTTTAAAATATTATTTTTTTCTAATAAATCCGTTTTTTTTCTTTTTTTATTTCGGTAAATTTCATAATATCCTTTATATTTTATATAAATAAATAAATAAAAATAATCCATATTTTATTTATTGTATAAAATCTCTTTTTGATAAATTAAAGTGTGCCCAAAATATTATATTCATCCAAAGTTGAAGTTTTGCTTTAGATACGTACTTAGTTATGCAAAATTTATAAAAATAAAATAAGTAAAATATCTTAAATAACCTTATTTGAATCAAATAAATATAAATATTTGATCAATTATTTATTTCATAGTTTTTGTTTATTTTTTTTTAGTAAAAATTAAGTAACAGTTTATCTCAAAAAATTATTAAATGAATAGTTGATAAATTATTTAATTATTTATTTTATTCAAAAATATTATTTAAGATATTTTATATATTTTTATTTGTATAAAATTTGCTTCAATTAGATGTCCGTTTACAGCTAAACTTCACCTTTTGATAAAAAAGATATTTTGTGCATATTGTAAATCACAAATTATTTTGTAAACTTTTTTATAAACAACAAAGGATATTATATAATTTATATTTTTTCTTTTTTCTTTTTCACTTCCCCACAAATTGATAAGTTCTTTTAACAATTAAGAAAAATCAATAAATATATCAAATATATATATATATATATATTTTATAAAAAAATAATATTAAACCACTTATTCGAATAAAAAACTTGTTAAGAAAAATCAATAAATATATCAAATATATATATATATATTTTATAAAAAAATAATATTAAACCACTTATTCGAATGAAAAACCGAGGGTTATTGAAGCAATTATAACCTCGGTTTTATAATCAAAATCCAACCTTCCATTTTCGTTTGTATTTACCTTTGATTTCAATTTTGATGGTTCAACCGTTCAATTTATATTTATTCATTTTCTTAATTTTTCTTTCAAAAACCTCAAATTCTGATTTTAATTTTTTAGATGTATATTTATTGTGTTAAAAAATATTTTAGATATATGTGTTTTTTTTTGTCCGTTGTTACTTTTGGTTTTGTTTCTGATTCTAAGCCGGAGCCGGAAACAGAGAACGGACTTCATTCTGCGCCTATTCGTCATGTGCGTTCACTTTTTCGCCTAAATCCTTTGTCGATCCATGGTGGAATTGAAGTGGCTATTTTAAGCTGCTCTTCTATTCGCGAGGTTGTGTTAAATTTGTTTGAAATATATTGTCCTTTGGCCTAAATCTATCGGAGAACTGTGATGAAGGCAATATATAGTAACTCTTTTTATAGTACTCCCTCCGTCCCAAACATCCTGAACATTTCCCTTTTTGTTTGTTCCAAACTCACTGCAATATTTTCAAATTTAGAAATAATTAATAATATTTTTATACATATATTAATATACACTTCACTTTATCTCATCACATTGCTCAAATAAAAAAATAAATAATTATTTCTCTCTCCAATCATATCACTTAATATCCAAATTATCTCAAATTACCATAATTAATACTCCCTACCTAAATTCTCGTATCAAATACAAATGTTACACAGTGTTTGGGACGGAGGGAGTACTTGTTTGTCAGTAACTTTCTCAATTTCTGGTATAAAAGTTACTGATTTTTAGTGTTGTTTATTAATTGGTGTATTTTTACACTGCTACTACTGTTGTATTTTGATTTTCCTGTCATTCATTTTCAATGTGTTAAATTTTTCTTATGTGCTAATTTTTTTTTTTTTGTGTTAATTTTTTAATCTAAATATGTAAATAGTAATTCAGTGATTTAATTAGCATTTAATTATTAAAGTCTTAATTTTGTACTCTGTCATTATAAGCTTTATTAGTATAATCTTTGCCTTTAACGTGTATTACTATCACACTAAAAGGAAATTTTAGTTTTTTAACCTTTCTTTTTTTTTTTTACTATATATAAATATAATATTAATATATTTAAAACAACGTTAATTTTTTTTTTTTTTTATTATTTAGTCAAAGGAAGGAAAACATATTAACTAATAAACAAAATCAACAATTTTTAACGCAAAATATATTGATATTCTAAATCCACAAAATTCACATACTTCTTATTTTTAAAAAAATTCTAATTAAATACACGTCTTAGTGTGTTGAGCCTATGCTTGTTAGGCCTTTTTTTATTGTTTCTCTAGAGTGTACTTTTTTTTTTTTTTTGGCCCAATCTATAAGAACAATAGACAATTATGAGATTCACAATATTCAATATTTTTATCAAAGTTTAACTTCTATTGGCAAGAAAATCATAGATATAACAAGTTGAGGTGCTTTGATGAACAAAAACCTTAGAGGTCTGAGAATTCGTTAATGACATAATAATGACTTCACAACAATTCGGACCAAGAGAAGTAGTGCAGTAAAAGAGGAAAACTAGATAAGTAACATACAATTACAACAATTAAGTGAGCTAGCATCATCTGTTCGACAAATGGTTGTAGGGAATGCACATGTTAAGACCTATGAGATTTGTGCAAGTTCGGAACATCCTATCAATATTTGTCCCACCATAACTTAAGGAGTAGATGTAAGTGTCGTGAGATTCATCTCAAGAACATACAACCCCTACTCGAACACTTACAATCCAGAATGAGAGATTACGCAAACTTGAAGTATGAAAATAAACAAGCCAATGTCGGAGTCAATTCACGAGGATTTCCGGCACCTCTATAGCCCTCACAAGCGGCTCCGAGTAATTCTCTATAGAATATGAAGAAAACTATAGCATCTAGCATATTGTAATTTCAATAGAAACTCGAAATAACATAAGGAGCTTAGATGAACAAATATCTAAACTACTCAATAAGGTAAGCAAAATGAAGTTTAGGGAAAAATGTAAATTTTCTCAAAAGAATGTGAGTTGATTGTTCTATGAAGTGGTAAAGAACTGGAAGGACAAAAAAATTGTGTTCAAAAAAAAAAAAAAAAAAAAAAAGATGAGGGTGAAATTGAAAAAGAGAGAAACAAAGATCGTCAATAAAATATCATATAAAGTAATCCCCGAATTACCTATTCCATCTATGTTTCAAGGCCATTTGGCCTAAATCTGACCAAAGAAGTTGTCATGGCCCGAGCAGACCAAGAAATTTGTCGAAGCACACTAACAAACTGACACAATATTGACTTAAAATTTATTGACTAACACAATTAGCTTGATTTGAGTTGCATGCTCGTTTAAAGAGATCTCCGACCCAATTAATAAATACTCTATTCGTCCTTCAAATTTCTTTTCACTTTCCTTTTTAGTCTGTCCGCTAAATTTATTTCATTACTAATTTTGGCAAAGTCAACAAATCAACATTTACTTATTACCCTCTTTCAACACTTATTTACAACAAATACCACTAACTTTATTACATTTTTTTTCTTCATTTACTTTAATTTCTAACTAAAATTTTAGAAAATACCCTCAACTAACTCTTTACTTTTATCACTTTTTAATAAAATATTCATTTT